GTGATGCAATAGGTTAGGAGCTACAATGGTTAAACTGGTATTTTGAAAGAATTGGATCTTCTTTTTTGTGATCCTCTTTGTATTAGCAGTGTGTATTACAGCATGGTCCAATCAGATGACCAGGAACACTAATGTCTTGAATCCTCAAGAGAGGAAATGCCATTCTAGACTATTCTGCTCCAGTTTAATTAACCCCTGAGGATCTGCAAGATGTTTTACCCTCTTCTGGATACTGAAACATGGCCAAGAAATAGTTCATACAGACTGAAAATTTTAAATGTGGATAGTTAGCTAACTTTGCACTATAAACAATGTAATATTTTCCTTGTGTTTGATGAAGCAGTTTTTCTGCTATTCATCTTCCTTTTTACAATTTTAAAAAATTTTCAGTTCTGAATTTGTATTAATTTTATAATATTGCATTAATTATTTGCAGCCGTACATACTTTTAGATCATGAGGGATAAAAACATGACACATACTAACTCAGGTTATTGTTCACAGAAAATAGGTCCTATCCAGTTGTGGCTTAATCCTAATATTGAAACACTTGACACTTGTGACAGACCAACTAACAAATCTCATCTTCAAAGTCTTAGCGGGACATCTGCAGTTTCTGTCGATAGAATTTTACCAACTCTAAACTCCAGCCTGTTTGATTCCAGTCAGGAAGTTCCTTCTCAGTGTGACAAAACTGGTTCAAGACCACATTCTGGTAAGATCAGCTCCATGATAGAGTTTGTTTACAAGTGGCCCAATTTTCAAGGTCAGCATCAAGCTCATTACAGAAAGTTTAACCAGGATAGCCCAGAGTCTCATCATCAGTTGAATACTAGACAAGTCACACCTGAAAGTTATCATTCCAGAAAATCTTTGCTTGCTAGGACTACACTCTCCCATATAAGTACTAATAAACGTGGCTCTGTCTACTCTCCAACTTCCATATATTCTCCTAAAACCTTGACTGACCAAGTCCCAGAGAAGGATGTTATGTCAGACAAACATTTTGTGCCACAAATTACTTATGGCTTTGCTGTCTCTTCAGTGCAGAAAAAGCAAAAATGGCTACAAACAAAAACTACTCATTCCACCACTTTTGAAGGCAAACGACTACAAAAAATTAAAACAAAAAAAAGCATATAGTACACATGTATCTTGTGCCTAAATGCTTATTATATAACCACTACATGTATGTATTTTATATAAATGTTTGGGGATAGTCTTAAATTTTTTACTGGTTTATTTTCTGTTTTATAGTTTAATTTTTCCATAAAACATAGATATTTACTCTGTTAATCTTAACATCTTTAAATAATTCTGCTTAATCCAAGTTGTGAGAACTAAAATGTGGATACTGGTGACCAGTATGTATTAAGCAAGTATTAATATAATTGTATTTCACATTAATACATATAATTATCAATATACATCGTTTATGTTGTATGTCACAAAAAATATTTCCTCTACCTCATAAGTAACTGAAGCAAAATTGTTTCACTAAAACATGTGATTGTTAAATTTTCAAGCAATTTAATAGTTAAAAAGTAAGATTTTTGTACCTTAGATTTTAGTTTTCTCAATTTATAGACTTTTAACATATGTATTACTGTTTTACACAAACCACAAGTATGAATAAAAATTTTCACAAATAACTTTTTTCTGACTTTTTTGTTACAACAGATCTTATTGTTTTTCTCAATTGTACCCTGGTAGATCAGAGTAAGTGTATGGACTTACAACTGTAAAATCCAGGGTTCACAACCCCACAATGGCCAGAGCACAAATATCAAATTTAGTTTTGAACTAAAACAAACAAACAAATGCAATTACTAAAATAATAATGAATTTCACTCTTCCATAACTACTTTAAAATATGCATTTATTCATATATATTCAGGTAAATGTTTTGTGCGGATGTTCTGCATATAGTATGATACCTTCGTGAACTGAATGTCAAGTAAAACTTGCACTTGCCAATTGCTGGAAACTCATATAATTTTAGCCCTATATCTGATCTCCTTGGGTAGAGATGAGCCCATCTTAAGGGATGATGCACATATTTGTATAATTTAGAATGAGTTAAAGTTTTTCCTCTCCCACGAATATTACTTGGAATAGTCTGTGATGTATGCAATATTCGATTTTGGTATACCACACTTTTAACGTTTTGTTTGAATTTCAGTTGTAAATCAGAATTCCCTATGTTTTTGCCTGATGCAGAGTTTGGTTGAAAAGCTTTCTCTAAGTCCCAGCAGCCAGTTAAAATCACAGCAGAAAACTTTAAGCTCGTCAATATGTGTAAAAACCTGCAGATTTCTTGTAAATAAAAGTTTTGTTTTACTTGTTCACTTCTGTGTTTCTTGCACTTACTGTTTGTGTTAAATTGTTTTTATAAAAAACATTTCCAACATCTGTATTTTATGGATACTTGTGAACTTATTTATTGGTTATTAGTAGACCTAAATACTACACAAACCTTTTCCCAAAATATACTGTAAATTTTTATTGTTTGCATTGATGTGATTTATGGATTCTGGAATTACTCCACTGTACCATACATTCTTTTTAATATCAATATATGTTAAATTTATAAAAAGGTGAGGTCTACATCAGGAAATTGTCTTTTCACTACTTTGATTGTCTGACCATTCAGTAGTGTCACCACTTGAATACAATAATAGAGAAATATTAAGTAATAGAGAGGTTGTTAGTTATTCTTGACTGTTTAAGTTAATGGGAGTGTTATGATTCAGTTGGTTTACGTATAGCACGAGTATTAAATTTAGTTATTTTTAGAAGGAATAGTTTATAGCAAGTTTGTTAACGTAACTGTGTACGAATCATACCTTATGGAGTTCAGTTGTGAATTAGCGCTTGTTGTATTATTGCCTCATGTTACTAGAACCTTCTAAGTTTTTCTCGTTGTTTTGATTACGTATTATTACATCATAATATCTCGTATTTTTTAGAACATTCTAGGCATTGGTCAGGCTATAAATACGCCTATAAAATGTAGTTTCAGTTAGTTATATAGATAGATCTAAACTGTGTAATTGTGAGTTTAGCCAATAAGAACGTATAGTGGTGATTTTTAAAGTGAAGTTATTGCACATAGTATTTTAATAACAGAGTAGAGAGAAATAATTTGCCTTGTCAATTGGGTGCTAAACTAACTGAACCAACCTGTGTGGACTTTGACAAAAAGAGACATTTATTTAAAGCTCTGGATGCAACTGTGGTAATTAACCGTGTAATGAACATTTGTATATACGTTTAACTAATTTTAATATATATTATTTTAAAACAAGGAGACTGTGTGCTGTTTGTTTATTGTTTAAATTTATCACCAGCAAGCCACAGACACCTACTGTAAAGAATTCTACCCATACATAAAAACCTGATAGTAGTGTACTGTTATTATGAACACTTGACCTGAAGTTGATATAATCCTCACAACTGAAACGTTATCTTATGATGATTTTAAAAGGTGATAACAAAAGCTTTTAGCAAATTCAAACAGTTTCAATTAAAATAAGTCTTTGTGAATATAACTACTACTGTATGTTGTGGCATGTAAATCGACTCGGCGTATAAGTCAAACCCTAAATCTACGCCAAAAAAATCGTGTAATATTCTGATAACTGCCACTCAACCCCCTTCCCCTTAAAATTATACAGAAAACCTATACAGTATCCATATATTTCTAAAGACCGATGAATATTTACAGAAAAAGGTTCGTACACACTTTATTTAACAGCATTGACAACAAGATTTAAAATCCATCAAAGTCCTCATCTTCAGAATCTGAATTGCCAAAAAGTTCATTGAATTCACTTTGACTTATCTGATCGTCGTAGACATTACATTCCTCCATGGGATCGTTGGACAGGCATCGTGTAATGTCATAACACCAAGTTGTGTCATTTCACGAAATGGATACACCAACTCCGATGAGCAATAAAGTCAGAAATATTTCTCTACTTGGCCCACCAATTGGGTTGTAGCATAATCTGATTTCTTTTTTAAATCGAACCAGAATTGCGGTTTTCGTCAACCCATTTCATGAGGTTTGTTTCCATTTCAGGCTGGAAATCAGTTTTTCATCTCCGATCAGCACACTTCATTCTTGACAGACTGATATTTCCCTATCTTTTTTCGCCAATCACGAACAAATTTTTCGTTTACATCAAATTCCCTACTCGCAACACAATTCTTTGTCTTTTCAGCAAATTTCGTGACTTTAATTTTGCTTTGTATCTCATACATTTTGGGGGCATTTCTATGTTCAGTCGTTGAATATATCACCGAAATGACAATTACGATGGACAGTGCGACCTTTATGAAGTCGTTTCCTAGAATTTCAAAACAAAACTCTGATTGAAGATTATTATTCGGTGTACCTGAATAGAATGATTCACTCGATCGAGAGGCTCCACTGACGATCAAGAATTTGCCATTTTTTGTATCTGTTGTATAAGTCGAGTCCTCTTTCTTGGAATAATATTCTCTCATAAAACAAATCGACCTATATGCCGCGATATACGGTACTTGAATTATATGTGCTCTGTACTTAGAAGGTAAAAAGCTTAAAGCCAAAGACACCAGTATGAGAACGGTGGTGTTCATTTGAGACATCTTAGGATGTTTTGAAATAATACCTTGCACTTGTTAGTGTTTCTGGACGTTAGTATCCATAGGTAAGATCTTGACGGTGGGTGGGAGACGTTGAATAGTTCTAAATCGTTTAATTATTTCAGTGAATTTGTGCCCAAGGTTTTAAAATATTAACAGTCGTATGCTGTAACACCTTGCATATAAAGGAAGGTGATAAAGATATAAAATTATAATAAGTAATGAGAAAAAAAAAGCAAGAATTTAGTTTAGTATTTATACAAATTATGTGACTAATTGGCTAATGATATAGAAGATTTTGTTCTAAAAATTCATTAGAATGTGTACCAGAGATTCAGTAAACTAGGATAGGAGCCAACACTAACAAAGGAGTTTTTATATGTGAAATTATTAGAAATATTCTACTTTTAACAAATTATTTAATGGTAATTATGATTTATAGTCTTGCACATATACAAGTAGTTATTTACACTAAATCAAAAATTACTCCACACAGCTGCCAGAAAAATCAAAGAATCACAGGCTGTATTTTTTAAGATAAAGACAGACATCTTTAAGTTAAAAAAATTAACGCTTCATTGTTAATGAAATAAAACTGACAATTTTATCTTTAATAAATAAGAAACAATGCCCTGTATTTAATTATTTGATAAAATCAATTTGGTTAATTATTTACAAATACTTCATTTTCAATATACGCATTGATACATGTATACGTTGACTATTGTCTTAGCATTGAGTCTAACAATATTATCTTTAACTTGTTGATGGGAAGGGGGGAACTTACGCATAGCCTAAACCCTATGTTTTATTTAAACTAATTAAGTTTAATTAACAATACCATATCTAGCTTATTAGACACTCACACATAAATAAAACTAATTCCTTTATCTTTGCTAAGATTTGTGAATTAAGAATACAGTTAATAAATCTTATCCTCACAGTTAATTTGATCAAACCAGACAGACCAGCCTAAGACACATCTTTATAAATTTCTCATTATAAACCTTCGGATGCTTATTGTGTGCCATCTTGCAACCATGCACGACTCCCTGAGGGGGGAAAAATATTTTTTTTCTAATGAATACAGAGACAGTACAAACGAAACTCACAGGATTCAGCAACTGACACTAAAACCTTTATTTTCAAAAATTAACATTATTTACATCCAATCAAATTCTTAGTTTGTCTATCACGTATTGCAAGCTGGGCATGGTCTGGTAATTAGTATGTCAGACTGCAGAGCAAAATGTCCAGGGTATGAAACGTGATGACACTGAACATGTTTAGTACTTTCAGTTGTGAATGCATTATAAAAGTAACAGTCAATCCCATTATTCAATAGAAAGAGCTCCTTGTGGCAGCAGACGCTGCTGTCTAGCTGCCTTCCATTTAGTTGGCAGTTCAAAAATTAAGGACAGATATTTCAGTACCTTAGAAGCTTGGACTTCTCCATTTAGTTCTTGTTTGTTTGTTTTTTGTGCAAGTGAGATACCTTGTTCATTTCATACATTGTGTCCATTATTTCATTCGTTCTCATGACTCAGTTATTCAGAAATTTAGCATTATTTTGTAGCAAATATACTGATCGTATGTCCTGTTGTTTAATGCATCCACTCATTTCTTTCAAGTAAATTCAGTTTTACCTAAATATACCAAAGAGTGGATTGGAAGAAGAAAATTTTAGTGTCATGATCACAGGTTATTATATTACAGAGTTTGCTACATCTACTGAAGTGTTTACTTCTCTGTTTTTGAACTTTTGTGTTTAAAGTTTTAAAAGGCTTCTTAGTTGAATAAAATGACTTTTTTTCACAACTAGAAATATCTATGATCAAAAGGGAATCCTGGCTACTGAAGGAAGAAGGTTACCTCAAAGAGTTGTTGGGTCTAGAAGAAGTCCTCTCCTGGACATCTGACGTTTGCCAGTGCTGCAAAGGTCTATAACTTCTATCCTGCTAGAGTCACTGACTTGGGAAGAAAAGCTGCTGTTGTCTGCTGCATCCAGAATGACTGTCCAGGTCTTCACACGAGGTTCAACCTCAGTGTGAGGAAAACGTG